TAATTAATAGGAAATAATTTTTTAAGCTTATAATAATTTTATTAATAATCAAGATTTTACTTTTTTTCAATTAAATGTTTATAATATAAATAATACAAATATAAATTTTTTATATATTTCGTGAATGCCATAGAGAACACTACAAAAATATTAAAATACACACAGAAATATTAAAATAATTAATGCTTTCATTTTAAAACTAAATTCTAGTAATTAATTTTTATTCATATATTTATTTATAATTTAAAAATCTAAACATTTCATCAATTGTCTCTATTTTATTTAGCGCTAAATTCTGCATATTAAATTGAAAAAATAGTCATAAGAAAAAATAATCTATCTAAAATTATCTAAAATTACCGTAAATAATTTGAAAATTCATATGCATTAATAACAATAAAACAAAATGTGAATATATTTCAAAACTTTGAATATTTAAATTTATATACCAAAATTATGCCTAATATTAAAAATAAGCTCACATTAAAAGAAAGATTTATTAACTCTAAAATATAAAATTTATAATCGATTAAAAAGTGTAAATAAATTAATGTTTTGCTCATTTTGGTTTTATACAGTTTTTTCTTCAAAGGATGAAAATTTATATTAGTTCTTAATTTAAGTTTTTAATTTATTGTCTGCAATTTATTAACTATTGGAAATAATATATTATTCATTAAACTTGAGTTGAAATTTATTTGGCCCTAACTAACAAGTTTTATGACTCAGGTTTTATATTTATTAAATAATATTTTTAAATATATATTTACTACATTTTTATTGATTCAAATTAAATTAATTATTTTTAAATATATTTTCAATAATTTTTTATTCTATTTCTGAATGCAATTCTCAAAATTAAATTTATCTATGTTCAAAACTATATTTATATAGTATCATCAATTCTTTTAAAAATAGGAAACAAAAAAAAAAATATATAGAAATAAAAAATATCTCTCCAAATAATTAGTTTGCTAATCAGATAAGCAATTCAAAAATGTCCATGTCATTTACATAAGCTAAATTATCTAAATTAATTAAATATTCATCAAAATATACGAAGATAACTATCCTATTTCAGATGATATTTCACGATTATATTAATGACAGGATAACTATCCTATTTCAGATGATATTTCACGATTATATTAATGTGAAATGAAACTTCAATTTAATTTAAATATAAAATTAATGAGATCCTTAAAACCTTTAATATTTTACATTGTAATTGATATAATTTATATTTAGAAATTTAATATTATGATATTGTCGAAAGCAAAATGCTAAAAACTTAGTAGGTATTATTAAAAATGACTACTTTGTTGATATTGCATGTAATGAAATAAATTCTTGTATTTTTAAAATATATATACATATATATTTAAAACTATTATAAAATATACAATAATATATTATCTTATAAAAGTAATGTGATTTATACTAATAAAATTGTGTTTATTTGTTTAGGCGCGTGTATGCGAACTATCTAGTATAAACAAAATCTGAATGAATAAAATAATACAAAATAAATGTTATTTTCTACTAAATTATGACTTTCTAATTATATTTTATATTTTAAAATAAATTTGTATATATATGTTTATTATTATAAAATAATATTTTATTTTAAATGTCTATTAAATTAGGATTGAACGATCAATTTTTACTTAAACATTTAATTGCGACTGCTTGTTAATATTTATCATAATTATGTTTATATAATTACAAGAAAATGAATAAGAATCGAATAACTATTTAATAATAACTAGTTGAAAAATTATTTTAATAATAACTAATTTTTAACGATATATTGCCTTTCTTGTAAATCTACACACACCCGCATATATGCACATACTTAATTTTACAAGATTTTTTATAGGAAACTTTTAGTTATTATAATTAACTAACTACAATTAATATATTGAGATAGTGAAATAAAGCGCAATTATAAAAGTAGATTTTATTTGCCAATTAAACCTATTTTTATTTAGTATACATAAAATATTGACTTTTAAACTGTTTTCCTTAAGTTAAAATTGATTGATAATTGTCAATTTCTTTTTAGATATCAATTTATAGAATATTCGAGAAATTGAATTAATGTATAGAACGTAGAAAGTTAAAATTTATAAGTATTTTAAATTTGTATTTATAAATGTATTTTTCTGTAATGCTTTAGAACAACTTTAAATAATTTATCATTAATAATGATGAAAAAATTAATTTACCTATGTAGAATATAGTGATCAAGCTTATTAGTGTTTATTATAGAAGTTGCCATCGCCAATCAACTACGTAATAAAGTAAAATAATTTAAAGTATTCAAACAATTGTGAATTTCCACATATTATTACTATGAATAGATATAATAAGTAGAAGGCTTGCAATTAGTGAAAATATAACCATTAATTGCTACAGATTTTGATTTTCAATAATATTAGTATAATAATTATTATAAACAACAATTTCTTTTAGATTCATAGTAAATTTTATTACACTTTTAATAAAATATTGATCAAAATTTATAATCAAAATTCACGTTAAAACAGACAATTTTAATTTTTTTTACTTTAAAACTTTATTTAATTTTATTAAAATAATTAATAAGAGATGTACTATCTATGAAAAATTAATTAGCAACACTACCAATAATATATAAATAAAACATAATAAATTCAATAGTATATAAATATAATAATAAATAACTATTTGTAAAGGAATCAATTAAAAAATTTATTATGTAAAAGAATAATGAAATTCTTTAGGTATATTGTTAGTTAGTCCTATAATACCAAATAGAAAAAAAAGATTAAGTATTATTTTAAATATATAAATATTCTTTGGTGTTATGACTAATTAGCATTGATAAAGATTATATCCATCAAATATTAAGCAAGGAAGGAAAACCGCAAAATATAAAAACGGGATTATTGTTAATTATTTCTGTCACTGTGAATTCAGAATAATATCTTTACTATATATGTATTTAATTAAAAAAAATTTTAATTACGTTTGTCCACATAATAATATTTAATGTTATATAATTCCAAATTATATAAAACTGAGCAATAAAAAAAAGTAAGATAAAGTAACATTGTTTATCTTATTTTGAAGACAAATAAATAATTAATCGTCTTATATAAATTAATTATTATAATAATTTGTTCTTCGGATGGCAGATATTTATAGATGGTCTTAATAGAAACATTTACACATGTCCACGTGTTATGTTTTATTATAACAAATTATCCGATATTAACAATGAAATTATTGTTTGTTTTTGTAAGAAAATATAATGAAATTTTAATAGCGATTAATTGATAAAATAATCAATTCTATCAAAATTAAGTTATAATTGTATTACATTTTTTCATAGTTAAATACTTGATGATGATATTATTAATTAATTCTATTATTTCAAACAATGATTTGTATTTTGTACTATAAATATTTAATATAAATAATTTCTTTGAACGAGAAGAATTAAAAATTCCAGCTATCTCCATTCTATATCATATTACATTGATGGTGAAAAACAGAGTGCAATAATTTTGTATATATGCATTAGTCATTAAATTGACACAATAGAATTTATAATTTTGTAAATCCTATCGTTATATTGTAATTTTTCACGAGCTCATTAAAAATAAAATGCACATATGCTCTCAACAGACAGAGAGAGACAGGAACAAAAATGGAAGGAAAATTAGATGTATGCATTTTGTTTGACTGAAAAACATATATTTAAATAAATAAATATATATATATATATATATATATATATATATATATATATATATATGCATGTATGTATTTATATATATTTTTTTTTCATTATATATAGCTTTATAGTACCTTCATTACATACGACTATATCAATTAAAAGATCTGTACTGTTTATTTTCAATATTATTCTCTCGCTTAAAGTATTCGTCAAAGTTCATAAAAATGCGATGCTAAATATAGTAATAGATTAATATTCATATAAAAAGAATGAACCAAATGAGCGAGAATTAAGAAGAAAAAGTACCTCTTTTTGTAGACGTGAAGATGTAAGTGAAAATGAAATAGATATATGAACAAAGACTGACGGGTAGAAGATAAGATATTAAACGAATGAAAATTTGAAATGCACGTGGAGAATGTAGTAACGTATGTGCAGGCAAAAGAAGCCCTCCAATATACAGTGCAACAGAAAAGGATGCTTGCAGGGTGTTTGATTGAGAGCAAAAGGGAGCATGAATGATAAAATGAGCAGGAGTAAGACCAACGATCAAACGAAACGTTAAAGCAGTGAGAGCAATGAGAATGACAGAGATCGAGGAAGATCACTAGAGTAGGGAGAATTAGAAAGAGAATTCATCGCAGCGCTAGGTCACCGATACTGGAGTAACAGAGGTGGCAAATAGTATTCTCCAAATGGAAGGTTGGCTTCTCACGTTTCCCCTTTCTTCCTCGAACCCAGTACCGCTATCCCTGTCTAGCTGGCTACAAATGTTGCTGGGCTATGACGAGCCGAGCAATGTACTTGCGCGGGGAGTTGAGAGAGACTAGAGAAACGCCCAGCACCCCCACGCGTATCGTGTTTTCCTCCCTCGCCCCTTGATCGTCGGGCAGCTGAAAGTTGGCTCGTGTGTTTCAGCAGTAGTACGCGCGTTTTCAGTCGTGAGAAGTGTCACGCCGCAGAAGGATCCGTGCACCAATTAACGACCGAGACCTCTTAAAATCCACGAGCCATTCGTATTAACTGTAAAGCCATTCGCCACTGTGATTAACTCTCTCTCTCTCTCTCTCTCTCCCTCTCTCTCCCTCCCTTTCTCTCTCTCTCTCTCTCTCTCTCTTCCTCCCTCCCTCCCTCCCTCACTCACTCTCGCCCTCTCTCCCACTCTCCCACTCTCCCTCTCTCCATCTCTCCCTTTCTCCCTTTCTTTCTTACTTTCTTTGAGACTCATTCGCCATTCGCATCTCTTACTCTTCGGGAGTGCCAGACTGTAGCCGAAGCCAAACCACTAGCCCCACTAGCTTCCGACCCGGTTGAATTAAGAGGGATATGTTGACAGAGAAGAGCTACCGTAGCATCAGACGACGGCGTCGACGGCATTGCCTATGACCGGACGCAGACGTAATGGAAAAAGTCGACGGAGCGGCCGGAATTTGCCGGCGTACGGTGAGGCTTAAAGTCATTAATTGTCTAACTTTATTTGGAGTGTTAGATAACCGATCGATTGAATATGCTTATACATCACAATATTATTAATAGAGCTAAAATCGATCATTTTAGCACGAGTTGCATTTTTAATGAGAGCATGCCGTGACGTCAAATGAGTAGGAGTTTTTATCGGAGTTAGATAAAGATCAGCGCCGTATCTCATTGGGAAATAAGTGCTCTGTCATAGTGGATTAGATGAATTAGATAAACAAGGGTCTCTTTATAAAGTATCAAAGCTTGTGGAGAGCTTGTAAAAATTTTTAAAAGCTTACTGCACTATGTGATCGTAAAGTGTGAAAAATTAGAGCAATTAGTAAGTCACACATAGTAGCTCAGTAACGACACATTCCGAACGTCTTTTTCATTTTTAGAAAAATTTAAATCCCATTATTCTATTTTCTTTTAAGCTGAAAATGGTCATTCCGTATCTGAATATATATTTTTCAAATATTCTTTGAAATACGCAATGTGTAAATAAAGTTTGAAATGTTTGAATGACAATACCTGGTCTATTATAAACAGTGTATGTATTATATTTAGAAAATTCGAACTATCCGTCTAAAATATTAACAAAAAAATGTTCAAAACTTAAACATTCAAATTATCCATAAGTGTCATATATATTTTAATTATATATCTAATTGTGTATACATTTGTAGATTAGAAAATATATTATTATAGTATATACTATATAAGATGATAAACTATATATGATATTTAGATATATAAACAAAATCAATCTTCATTAAAAATAATTCTCTTTTTATTAAAAAATTTCTATAATATTTTTAATCTTTTCATCAGCAAAATAAACTTTATGGAAATAAAAGTTTCGTAATATACAAATTATGATTAAATACTTGCATAAAAGTTATTGCCGTACTCTTTTAAATATAAATGTTATTAATTTTGTTAATGCTTAATATTATTAATGCTCTCTTACACGGATCTTTCAACCAATTAATACACATTTAAATACAATATTAGATACTTTATTATCGGCATCTCTACATATTATACATAATATATATCTTATATATACTAGACGAATTTTAAAGGAAAATAAATTTTAATAATATTAATATAAAGTTATGTAAGAAATTATTTAAATTTTTTGATTAACTGAATAAGTAATTCAAAATTTGTATTATTGAATGACATTAATTTATAAGAGATTTTTCAGTAATTTTCTTTAATAAAAAAATTACGAAAGGAAGCCAAAAATAATTTTTATATTTCATAAATAAATGATTGTCTAGATGAATATACAAGTCAAATAATTTTATTGCAGTTATAAAATATTTATTATGGTCCGTACAAGTTTTTCCATATAAACTTGTATACGATGTTTGCTAAAAATCCGAAGTTTTCGTTTATACTTATGACTGATGTAAAATATTGTTTTTAGTAAACGAGCAATTGTAAATTAACTGTTGAAATTTAACATACGAAAAACTACTCCCAATACCAAATTATTTAATATTTAATTAAGATAGATGGTTTTTGTCAAAGCTTAGATATGTTTATAAATTACTTAAAAGTAATTGTATACAAAAACTTTTTTCTCATAATTAAGTATAAAAAATTGAATAAAGGTCAAGAAAACGTATATCAATTCTATGGTTTTTATTAAATTTTAGTAACAAATATGTAACCAATTATTTAAGCATTTGCATACTTAGATGTATGTACTTGATTGTAATCTATTTTTAAATGAAAACCTTAAACATTATTATGAATTAACTTCATCATATTACTAGTAATTATTCATATAACTTTAAAATTTACTATTTAATTTAAATTACTGATATAAATATGTTAAATTTTTAAGTAATTGAAAATCTAAATAAAATATCAAATAGTACCTTTTAGTGAAAAAAAAAAAACGGATTATCGCTACCATTAATAACAGTATCATTGGCTATGTTTGTGTACAAAGAGCATTTAAAAAATTTGAATAAGTGTTATTTTTGCCATTCTCCTGGTATTGAATAATATGGCTGAATTAAATATAAATTAGTTATTTGAATATTGTTACGGATTGAAACAGTTGAAAAGCGGAATACAAAAGTGGGAGAGGTATGAACTCGCGATTCAGTTATTTTAACAATGCAATAGCAGCGAATCTTCCAGGCTATGCCCTGTTGACGTCACGGTAATAAAACACCGGCGTTTCAAGCAGTTGTCCGATAATATTTAAGTGCTGTGCTTTACACGCAGACCAGTCTTTTTTAGTCCTTCTTAGTCAAATCTATTAACAATTGCGCAGTCGTTATAACGTGAGCACTATTTAATCTTCAAGGCATCAGTCTACAATCATCATTAACTATATGTTTTAAACATCTATTCAGTTATTTCACTTTAGTGTCACTTGCACTATGAAAAACTACAATTAAAATTCAGATAATCAAGAATACAGAAATGAACTTACACTACTACAATTGAATAATTCCCTATCTCGATAAAAGTAACCAACAACACTACAATATTATAATTTTATAAGCAAATAATTTATAATCGACTTTAAAGATATTACGTTATAATTTTATCATTTTAATTGTGCATTCTTTTTTTTTCCTAATTCATTATGGCGAGAGATTAATCCACTGAACTAGTGAATTGGTAGTTCGAGCCATAAAAATCGAACAAATATTATAGATCAAACTCTGTTGGTTTATTATAGGTCTGAACTATACATTTTTAAAATTAATTAATAAATGAAAGATTACTATAAATTGAAAATAATAGTTGCTGCAATATTATTTTTGAAAAAAAAAAATTTTATTTTGATTATATCTGAATTTTATTTAGGCAAAAATTATTAATAATATATTTTTTATATACTTCTAAAAATAGTTTAGATTAGCTCAAGAGCTGTATATTCCATGTAGAGTTTGAATTAATTGAATTGGCCTAAACATACACTACGTATGTCACAGTGCTTTGTCCTGCCGAATTAACAGAGTTTTCATTCGAGAAATAATCATAACATATTCACCAAAGCTATTTTGTAAGCTTCATTATTTATTGAAAATTTAGCTAACAATTTACTTATAATTACAAATCTCTAGTTAAGCATTAGATTAGCTACTATTATTCTCATAATTTAATTTGTCATTTGTATTGCTGAACTTTTTTTTATAAATACAAGCAATTTATGTAAGGTTTATTCAAGATTTTTTATAATAAATGAACTTGTATTTCCGAGAAAGTAAAGAAAATGTTTTCACGTGAATAATAACAAATAAGCTCAATTTTTTAAGTCCCGCTTTTTATCGCATTTAAAAAGTCATTTGTATTCCGTAAATTGTAGTATAAAGATATAAAATATTTACATCTACTTTTTTTAATTGGTACAATATAGTTTTATATACAGCACAATTCTTCTGACTACAATTTAAGTCTATGAAATCATCTTAGATACAGGTGGTAGCCTTATATACTATTTGATTATAACAGATCTGTCTGAAAGAAATGTTCAAAATATTGAATTATAAAAGTGATATTAAATATTTGTATTCGCAAAATTCCATCATTTGTCGCGTCTGATTAAACTTCCTTGCATATTTTTCCATACTATTATGAAAATTCCTATTTTAAAAAGTTTACCATTTTATCTTACATACTAGAACATATTTTGTTGTATTATTTGACTTAAAAAAAGTTTGATTAATTTCTTTAGAAAGTTTTTTTTTTTTATTATTTATGCATATATTATCTTTGGTGTAATATGCATCTGACGTTATTATAACTTATAAATACAAATAATTTAGTTTTATGAGGATAGTGATACAAAAAGTTATTTATATATATTAAGTTTGCTAAAATTAAAGAGAATAATAATTGTAATGATTAGAAAAATGTTAATAATTAATACAGCAAGAAAATATTAAGTATCTTTATGTCATTAAAATTATAAGTAAATTATTAAATTATATTTTAATGATTATTCAAATTTAGTAGATTAAAAATAAAATATATTAGTACTGTTAAATAATGGATACACGGAATCGCTCTATTGTATATTCATAATACATATTAATTTTGTTAATAGTATATTTGTACTCATATTTATTAAATTTAGATGCAAAATAATCTTTTCTACTTATATTAATTCAAAGCAAGCGATTAATTACATAATATATGACATTCAACTTTCTATAGATATTAAAAATATATTAAAAAATAAATATTAGACTGTTAAAAGTCTAAACAGATAATAAATGAAAAGGTAATAAATAATAAATTGTTTATGAAAAATTAGTTAGGAATATCTTCAGATATTTGTATATAAATATTGAAATTATGTAAATAACTGTTTTAATGATAAAATAATTACATAGGTATAATATGCACAATTATTATGATTGAATTTATTTATATGGACTAATATTTAACATAATTGAGATTTTAAATTTCATATATAATACTATTTTTTTTTCCATAAATTTATTCAGTTCTATAAAAATTTAATTTAGAAAAATATAATTAATAAAGTAGTGTATCATTTGAAATAGTCTGCTGATTTATCATTTTAGCATAATGATTTTATATTACCTTTTCGAAATATAATTGTTGTGATTGCACCGTAAACTTAACACTAAAGAAAAATAATAATTCTTAAATAAAACTAAAATTGTAATAGTATTATTACTATTTAAAATATGTACGTTATTAATTTCAATAGAATGAATAAGCGAACCTGTTTGCAGTAAAAAATAGTATAAACTTATACAAGATTTTCTTTATTCGAATTCTTATTCTACACGAAGGTGGTTAATTTGTGATATTTAGTCTTTTGCTCGATAATGCACTCGGCTCGTATTCTCGTTACACGCGTGCACACCTAAGAATACATTTTCAATGCCTACCACCGTCATCCTACCGCGATCCCTACCGTCGTACTTGGTTTTTCGTATTTGGTTGAAGAGGATACAGCGGCGATGCGCTTCAAAAGT